CGTTGAATGCTGTCAGTTAGTTGCGCCGTCGTACGTACCTGCACATGTGCGAAGTCCACCACCTCAAGTGCCGTACCAACGGAGGCCATCCTCGAAGCCCCGCTCGGGTCGGCCCGGCCGTCCACGTAGCACATACCGAAGCGCCGTGAGCCGCAGAAGGGCGAGTCCGACTGGATCAAACCCTCCTCCACACTGCAAGCACGCCATGTCATGTCACATCAATAAATGTCACATCAATTAATTTCACGTCATGTCACGTCATGTTGAGGTCCCAAACAGTAGGCAGCCATGCAGCTGGTGGGCGCTTGGCAGGTGGCGCGACAGAGAAAACGAATTGTGCACGTGTCGCTGATCAGGGCTTTGTTATGCGGCCGCGATTCCCGCCGCAGGCAGGGACTGGCTGTCGGGGGTAGTGGTGGTGTGCGAGGGTGCAGGGGTTGCTGGTGTGACGACGGCGGTTTGGGGCTGTTATCTATTGGAGGGGGTCGAGGCGGTTTCGGGACACGGGGGACAAAGGCGCGGTGGTCCGGGCGCGAGACATGGCGCGCTGTGATGCGGTTTCATGTACGGCTTGGTCAGGGATTCTGGGGCTGCCCAGGGGAGGCAATATGTGCACGGATATGGGTCCTTAAAAATGGAAAGCGTAGGTGGTGTGGGGGTGTTAAGAGGTAGATGAGGTGGCGTGGGACCTCAGGTTGAAAGAGGAAAGAACATCCGGAGGAGGACGCGAAACAACAAGAGCGGAGCGCGTATTGGATCTGTTTGTGTTGAGCAAAGGTAAACGCATTGGACCGTTTGATTGCGTCCCCTCACGCCGAATGCTGGCCACTCACCCTGGTTCGCCAGCCAAGATAGTGTTAAAGAGGACTCGATATCTGCATAGAAGTGGTTGAGGTGATTTGTTGCGATCATCCGATGCTGTTCAAAGAGAGGGTTGCGAGCGCGAATCCATCAAAATACGATGCAAGTCCGTTCATTCCTCCCGCACCTACCGAGCCTCAAAGATCATAAGGGGAACAGTTGCACATGGCAGCGCGACCACGTTGAGCGGGAAAATCGGGAGCTGCTTCCTCGTACCCGCCTTCGCCACACACTGCACCCGACGATGTCTCGACTTGCGCGCGGGAAGAAGCGCGCGGTTTGCCTTAGTTCCAGAGAAAGTGAAGGCTGTCTTGAAAGTGGACGCCATGGCTATCGATTATGGAGCGCAAGAGTTGGTTGCCTAGACTAGCATTTCGCAGCCTATAAGGGTTGTGGCAAGCACCTCCGCTTATACCAAACTTTTTGTATTATCAACCCACATCTAAGCTCTGCTTGTAAGGCTGTATCTGACGATAGGAAAATGCCACACAGGTATGCACCGCATGCGTTTCGTCGCGGTACACGCACTTACATTTTCAGATCGTGTTAGGCTTCTGGCCAGGAATACAAAAGTACATGTAGCGCCGCTTTACATTACAATACTTTATGCTTTTGGGTAGTTACGCTGTTCGGGCGCAAAAGCCATGCCCAGCAAAGTGTTGCCACCGCGTCCCAAGGGACAGACGGGTTTCGCAACTCGCCAAAGCTCCCAACGACAGCATTCCAACCTGTTTGACCATGCAGACCATTCAACCTGCATGCCAGCACATCCTTTCAAAAATTTTGACCAGAAAGGTGCCGCTTGGACAGTACCGTATGCATCCTATGCATGGTTTAGTACGCTTCGGTGCCTTCTCAACCTACGCACCAAAACGGGGCCAAAGGCACTATCGGTATTCCCGTAGATATCCGCTCCTTCTTAAAAACGGTAGAGAGCTCTGTACCAACTGTAGGACGCAAAAGATATTGCGCAGCCCTAGCTCTAAAGCTACAGGGAAGGCACGTTCACCGAAACCCACGCACGCACAAAAAAGAGGAAGAAAACACATATGCCCCGTCAGTTCCCTTCATAGAGAGCGTTATGGAAGATCAATACCATTACCTGAACGAATTACAGCGCACGGAACGTGCCCACGCACGTGCCAAAGCGCGCATGCCGGCCACGCACTTCTGCCTTCCCCCCCTCCTCACTACTCTCGCGACAGGACTGCACAACACCAAGGACGCCACCAGCTCGTTCGCGTGGTGCATGAGGAATCCTTGAAGCGCTGCACTCGACCCCATCTGGGGTCTGCAACTGCAACACTCTCAAGCTGCCAAGCCGCCAACACCTGCAGAGAACAACTGGGCTCTTATCCTGCACAGCCCCAACGCGTGCTACCAGTAAGAAGGATGCACGCTGCAATCTCAAATCTCAACAGCCCACCAAACCAACGAACGCTGCGACGCAGCAAACTACTAACAAGGAACAAGAAACAAGCACGCTGCGCGGCGCTGTGCGCTCCCTGTCTCCTTTTTTCACACACCTGGCACTGCCCTGCGTCCGAGCAGGCACGCCCTCTCCGACGGACTGTGCAACCGATGGAAAGGATTCATCACGGCAAAGTTCTCAATTCCACCAACACGATGATAAAAAGAATGGGAGAGGTATTCGCGGGGCCCCCGGACATGACTCCGGACATCCCCCCATTCAGAAGGGCATTCGTGGTCCGCATCACCATCAGCTACCGTGTGTGTGTGCCGCTACTCCATAGCAGCACCATCAGCACCAGCACCATCAGCAGCAGCACCATCAGCAGCAGCACCATCAGCAGCAGCACCATCAGCACCAGCACCATCAGCAGCAGCACCATCAGCACCAGCACCATCAGCACCAGCACCATCAGCACCAGCACCATCAGCACCAGCACCATCAGCAGCAGCACCATCAGCACCAGCACCATCAGCACCAGCACCATCAGCAACATCAGCACCAGCCTTCTAGAACCTTCGCCTACACATTACCCTAGGCGGTCCCCGCCAAGACCGCTGCTGGCAGCCTCCGGACGCTCTGCGTGGGGGTCAGTCATTCCATGGGTCTGATGGCATCAGTGCAGCTTCACCCGCGGCCACGGCCGCCGTACATCCCCATCGGTCTCCTCACGGAGTGTCGTCGTTGTGGTCTCGTCCAAGGCCGCAGCCACTTCGGCGATGATGTTCAACAAATGGCCGTCACCAAGAACGTCCTCGACGCCGCCGCCGTCACCTCCGGCCGCCGCCGCGGCGCCCAGCAGCAACTGCTGCACCTGCTCGCCGTACAACCCCGTGGTGGCTATAGTGGCGGCGTTAGAGAAGTCTGGTTCTCGTAGCGGCGGCGGCAGTGCTGGTTGCCAGTTCGCGGCGGCGGCTTCGGCGCACTCGGCACGTGGACCTCCTCTGCAAAGAGCGGCGGCGGCAGGAGGTCGCGGGGGTAGGTCGGGTCGAGGTGGAGGTCAAGGGGGTGGGCGCGAGTGGATAACTTGGGGCACCCTGGACCTATTAGACTGCATGCTGTGGGAGGCAGGGCAGGGAGGTAAGGGGGAGAGAGATGACGCGCGGTAACGAGCGATGTTGACGCGATTGTGTCCGGTGGCAAACACCCTTTGTGGACCCCACTACCCCATGAACCCGCTACATGACACGGACACGGACACGACCTGCGGAAGGGATCCAAACTCTCATCCAGGAGCAAGTGACGGCGACGACCTTCAGTACCGCCAACGCCAGCAGTAGCAGGGGTAGCAGGCGTAGCAGGAGGACGAGGACGACGGCGAGCAGGGCCGTGGCGACTACCTCCGCTGGGTTTGTGATTGCCGCCGCCGCCGCTGCTGCTGCTGCCACCGCCACGTTGATTGACCGGCTTGGTGCGCCCATTGCTATGTCCTCTGCTTCGCTTGCTGCTGCTCTTGACGCCCTTGCTCTTGCTGCTGCTGCTAATGGTTGTAGTAGGGATGGGGGCGCTACAGATGCGGTCATTGGGGTCGGCACTGGAGGTGCAGTCCGTGGCGGCATCCTGGGTTGACCTAGCAGCAGCCGCTTCCGCCGCCGCTTCTTCTGCTGCTGCTGCTGCTGCCGCTTCCGCCGCCGCATCCGCTGCCGCCGCCAACTTCGCGCCCAGCTGTTGCACAGAGCCGGCGGCGGCGGCGGCGGAACCTCGATGAAGCAGCTGCCGCCGCCGCCGTCGCCGATGATGATGGTGATCATCCCAGGAGGACGACGATGGGACCACCGCCAGAGACACTTCGTTGATGCCGTCGCCGACGGTGGCCGCCGCCGCGGCGGCGGCGGCAACGGCCGCCGCAGCCGTAGCGTTGCTCTGCTGCTGATCGACCCCGCCACCTCCGTGTGCACCTCCGCTGATGCGAATGCTGGGGCCTTGCTTCGACGGCGGTAGACGCGGCGGCGGTGGCGGCGGCGGCTGTGGTGGTGGTGGCGGCGGCGGTGGCGGCGGCGGCGGTGGTGGTAGCGGCGGTGGTGCGTTTACTACCCTGACCTGCAGAGGCACGGGTGGCTTGGGTGGTCGCGGTGTATCAATATATACGTTGTAGCCGTCGTCGGCGGTCCCCTGGAGCGCACAGCTCCACCACATGGCGCCCGCATAGGGCCCGCCAGCCGCCGCGGAGGCGCGCAGCTGCGCAAGTGCGACGGCGAACAGCTGGCGCCGTTGTACGGCCGAGAAGCGGCTGCCAGCAATAGGAGTTGGGAGTAGGATGCAGGGGAAAGGAGAAACGGGAGCGGAAACGACCGTTTGTGAGATGGGAAAAAGAAGAAGAGGACCTGCATTTGTGCCGTGCTTGCGCGGAGTGGCACGCACGTCATGCAGCGTCCCCTTACTCCGCACCTTCCCGTGCTACTGCTGCTGCTACAGCTACAGCTACAGCTGCTGCTCCCCCCTTAATCTAATCCTTTCAGTTATCATTGCATCAGCTCAATTATGCGCGATCTCTGCCGTACATGGTACGGCGCGCTCGTGCTGCATTGAATTGCATCGTGTAACATCGTGCATGTAATCATTCATATCTATTTCGTTAATTTGCAAACCTGGAAATGATGTTGAACTCCTCCTGCAGCAGCGGTTTGCCCAAAGCGCCCGCCAGTTGTACATGTAGCCACGTGTACGACAAGTACCAAGGCAAATACTCCTCGAAGGTCATTCGGGTCCAGCCGTGGGCCGGCACGCCCTGTCGCCGTACGCACAAATACACACACACACATGCACATGACCCCCGCCCCGGAGAAGACACGCGTGGGCGGACAAAGATGTGAGATTGTTCGCGGACCTTATGGAAACATAATCACCTGCCGTACACCATGTCGTACACCATATCGTACACATCCACATTATTTACTCTTAAAACCCCAAGCATCTACGTCCCCACAGTTTCATCGGTTCCACCTTCTACAGACACGTCGCTGGTGTGACTATTCGGAGCTGTCACTCCGATTTGAAGCCACTCAACCGTTTACAACCACCACCATACGGCACTTCCCTCGTCGCGGCTCCGAAGATCATTTTAACACATAGCTAACACGGGTACAGAGGCGTCACGCAGAAAGACACCCCCTCAGATAGGAAACAAACCTGGTGTTCAGCAAACTGACACCCCCCGTTCCCTCCCCCCCTCCCCCCCCCCCCCGTAAACGAGCCGTGCAACCCAGCACATGGAACCTGCTCCCGCTAATAACACTGCTAGCCCCAGCACCCTCCCCCCCTCACCACCCCTCACCACCCCTTACCGCCTCTTACCACCCTTCCTCCTCTCCCATATCCCTCCCTACGCGGGTAAAACCCTAAAACCCTATATCGCTAAAACCCTAAATCGCTAAAACCCTAAAGCCCTCACCTCCGTTTGCCGCCAGTACGTGTGCATTACTGCCACGTCCAGCGGCAGCATGTCACTTGACTCCAGCCAGTCCTCACCCTCACACGCACTGCCCGCACCTGCACCGTGACAGGTAGTTAAAAATTACATCAGACTGACTGACAGGCTGACTGACCGATAGACAGACAGGCTGACGGATAGACCGACGGACTGACGGACTGACAGACAGACGACCACCAGCAGGATGATGATAAGGGAGGTCACCAACGTAACAACGGAGAGCAAAATCAAACATGTACGAACAACACAACGCTTAACGAAAATTAACACCACGGATCACAGATGCGGAGGGGGCAGAGGACACGAATTTTTGTAAATCGTTTCGCATTGTTTGGTATTACGTATGTTTCACTTGCCGGGACGTCCCTTCACTTGCCTTTTGTGGATTATATAGGTTTTATGGATACACTACTTCGGCAGAGCATCTTCATCCATTTCGGGGCACACCGGCCGGAAGGTTAGAAAGAAGAGGGTGGGGAACCCTAACTCCATCTTTAATCTTGACACCTTACCGGGGTTGAATGAAACGTACGACGGTAGGTTGCCGTACGGATGGTTCCCGAAGAAGCCCTCCGTGCCCATGGCGACCAGCTGGCGGGGTGCTGCCGCCTTGGTGTACGACGCCATGTCGTACAGCCAGGAACGGTAGGCGGACAGCTCCGTCGAGTTGCAGCCTTTAAAGGGTTTATTTCCACAACGGGTCTAGGGTTTAGGAAATGTTTGAAATCAGGCGACATGTGCAGGAATTAATGTTCAGACAGACAGACAGACAGACAGACAGACAGACAGACAGACAGACGGAAAAAAGGGGCTGGGAATGTCACGTTTTGCTGAGGAGGACGGCCTGAGGGTATGGACAGAACAACGGGCTAATGTAATCATACACGTTTCCAAGGAGTCGTACGGCGCAGTTGCGTGTTGTACGGCAGCAAGAAACGTCCCTCCCGTGGAACCCCAAAACGTTTTGTTTTCGTATCGTATCTGAAACCCCTTTCATAACGTCCGAAACTGACAAACACCTCTAGTACCCCCCCCCCGATCCTTCACCTCCCCCAACCCTCGCATGCTACACACACAGATATTTATAAAGCGTAGATATTTACAAAGCAGAGACATTTATAAAGCAGAGGTATTTATGTACACACTTGCACACACGCATTGTCACCCACCCGGACACCTAGGTTCGTTCATCACATCCCACATCATGATGACAGGCGAGTCCCTGGAGCCATTCGCAACCACGAAACGGAGGGAGGGCGGGTAAGGGAAAAGGGATACAGAGTTTCCGTTATGTTGGTATATTGGTTGTGTACGGCAACGACTTGATGATGAACAAAAGCACACGTTGGTAATGATCGCACTCGATCAGGGATAGAAGTGTAGAAATCCTATAGGGTTGATACTTAAGACGCCAGGGTAATAAAACAAAAGCTCACCAGAGTAATAAAGCATTTAGATAGCCCGCTGATCTTTGGGCGCTAGTCTGGGCTGATAGTGCGGTGTTTCCTTTCCTCCATGGCTTTTAGGCGTTTAGGTATTGCCCTTGGGCCTTCGGCTTGTATGGGTAGTAAGTCTACAGGTATGGGATCACGCACCCCCCAACCATGTAACACACACACACACACGGACACACACACACATTCACACACAGATAGCCCGCTGTATGAGAACAATAACAAAAACATCGTGAGCCGGATTACAATCCAAACCACCAACCCTAAAACTGTTTACAAGAACTTTATGATGAAGATAGGCTGCAAAACTCCATACAGCCTGTACACCCCGGCACCTGTAGGCCACCCCCGAGAACACATTGATCCGGGAGGTGACCGCCGCGATGTGGCGCTTGAACATCTCCCGGGCCCCCGGGTCGCGGTAAAAGTCCGCCACCGTTAGGGCCCCGCCTGCTGACATCAGGATGTACGGGATGTACGGGAGGATGAGAATTATAGAACGGGGTTGATATGCGAGGCAAGGAGATTGACCCACATTGACCCACATTGATTGACCCACATCGATCACATCGACCCACATTGACCCACTCGACCCACATCGACCCACATTGGCCCACATCGACCCACATTGGCCCACACTGACCCACACTGACCCACTCGACCCACATCGACCACATTGACCCACTCGACCCACATCGACCCACATTGGCCCACATCGACCCACATTGCCCCACACTGACCCACACTGACCCACTCGACCCACATCGACCCACATTGACCCACATTGACCCACATTGATTGACCCACATCGATCACATCGACCCACATTGACCCACTCGACCCACATCGACCCACATTGGCCCACATCGACCCACATTGGCCCACATTGACCCACACTGACCCACACTGACCCACATTGACCCACTCGACCCACATCGACCCACATTGGCCCACATCGACCCACATTGGCCCACACTGACCCCTGATCGGAATCCACATCGATACACAACGACCCTGACGGCAGCAGGACACGCACTGACCCCTCCAATCTGACTGTCCAGATAATTATCCACATCCCAACCGACCCATGGGACTTTGCCCCGCCCATACCAGTGTACGAATGTGCCGAAATTTTTTCAACGACCGATGCCAATGCTGCTGCAAGTCTTTGCCAATACACGCCAGCAGCAAATACCCCCAGGATCCCCGGATTAACCTAACCGTCACGAGCTCCCCAGTACCAATAAATGCAACTCTTTCGACCTGTTAAGTTGGCAGCCCGAAGAAACAGCTCCGGCGCCACATACGCCGGCCATAAGTTCCCCAGCGCCAGCACCAGTCGTATGCCGTACAGCTCGGCATGTCGTACAATGTAGTCCAGCGCCACGAACTTGTCCTCTGCCCAAACAAGTCCGGTGCCATCTAGGCCCAAGGCGGGCAGCTGGTGGCTGAAGGCCCACAGCCGGACTACACGTAGGCCAAGTTCCTGCGACAGATATGGGACATGTCGGTGTACGACCAGGGTATACGAACGTTAGTTAGTCAAGTTGAGCGGTGGCCGTGTTTCCACGGCTTATTTTAAACCCTTCCTCGCACCCCTGCCGCCTCCTCCGCCTTCCACCCTGATGCATGTCGCTACCCGCCCTCCCCCCACCCCTCCCCCCACCCCTCCCCCCATCCCTCCTCCCATCCCTCCTCCCACCCCTCCTCCCACACCTCCTGCCGCACCTGTGCCAGCTGCAGGGCTCGGTCCACTCGATCTCGTCGCTCCGGAACCAGCGCGTCTTCAGCCAGCCAGTAAGCGTTACAACCCAAGAAGTAGAAGGGCCGGCCACCCTGGAGCAGCTGACTGCCGGAGCGTTCCACAAAGTACGACATTGGTGAAAAGGCTGGCAATGGCGAGGATGATTGATGAGACGAGGAGGTGGAAGTGGTGGGTGACGATCCCCCGGGATCTGCGGCTGTTGGCGACGCGGAGGATGCTGCTGCGGATGCAGATGTGACAAACAGGCAAAGGCAAGGAAAAGGAATTGGAGCACAAAATCAGTGGAAGGAAAGGGAACGCGCGGGGAGAGGAAAGCATTACATGACGTTGTGCGTCGTCAGATCGCTGTCGCTGATGCATGCGTGGAGGTGGCGGCCGATAGGGAGCGGAAAAGGAAAGGTAATAATTCGACTGGAGGAAGGGAAAAACTCTTAATTACAAAACATACAGCTACAGGAGTTGTCCGCGTCCGGGAGTCCGGGTTGCTAACGTCCCTGATGCATGGAATCAAATAAAATGAAAGCAGAATCCCAAATCTGACCCATGGATTATGTTGTTCTCGGAAGATAGGGAAAAGAAAGCCCTGAAGTCGATTTGTTGCTGTTGTGCTCTGTTGCTTCGCAGCTCTTTCAAGCTATACTGGAATCCTGCGGCCGAGGATGTTGTTTTGCCGACGATGTTGACGAAAACATTTATTTATTTATTTATTGTCGCCAATACGTCATTTTGCAGCTGATGCTGTCAACCTGCAGTCAAAGACTGCTGGCACACTCGGTCGCCGAATTCATTCCGTTGCTTCCTGTTTACCTGGGCATTCTAACGGAGACATCAGCATGGTCACCAATAGCGGCAACACCAATAGCGTCACGCGCGATGTCGACACCAGAAGCGACGGCGACGAGTTTTGTTTGCTAACGCGAGGCGGCGGGCGTAATGGCGGCTCGTGCGCCAACCGGTGGAGGCGCATTTCAATTCTCACAGCCAGATTTGGACAGTTAAACTACCAGAGCGGTCAACAACGGATGCAAAGCAAAGCCACGCTGGATCCTGCCCTGCAGAAAGAGAGGGAAAGAGCCAGCCAGTTGCGGCGCTGCCTGTGGCTAACCAGGGCTAACGCTTTGGGACGGCTTCGTGCTGGCCGACAGTTGTATTGGCAAGAGGGCTAAGAGGACACAGACATTGACCTTACTTAGGAGCAGGAGTTGCTGGCCATAATTGAAGGACCTGCGCACGGCTGATTAATAATTTTCATTTCGCAAAATCGGCGCTGATCGGCAGACTTAACCAGCTGTGCACCACGCCAGCATTACGAAGTGCAACTCTGGTTTGTGGTTCAAACAAAGCCGTCACGTTTCAGGAAAATTACGACGCTTTGTAAGTTTGCGCGCCAAAAGCGTTGACCATCCAACATGGGCGCGTGAATCAGCGTATTCGTCGGGGTATGGAACCTATCAAATAATAATAATAATAATTATTATTATTATTTATTTTATTATTATATTTAAATTCATTATTATTATTATTATTATTATTGTAAAGTAGTATTAACAATTAATTATTTAAAGTTTGCTGTTTATTTATGCGCCTGTCTGCGGAAATTGAGGGGTGTTGCAAGTGCTGCAGCAGCGCCGAACAGGATTGACCGCAGCCTACAAGCAGCGGTTGACAAGCAAGCGCGAAAGGAATAGGAACTTGGAAAGGGAAGGATCGTTGTGCTACAGGCGCACGTTTTTGTGTGCCTGCCGATGCAAAACGTTGCGTCAGCGGCTGCTTGCGTCATGCCCATTTTTCGGATGAAAGATGGCGCGCAGGCTGAGCCTTGAAAGCGTTCTATAAGCAAAAGGCCATCGGTACCAACGGTACCAGAATCTGATATCGTGTTGGCGCGTTGGTACCGATCGTTAGCTGACGCCCCGGAATACAATTACGCTGCGGATCCAACCGTTGTCAACAGCCGTCGCGATTAGCGAAAACAATATCGCGACCTGACCCTCCTATACTACCCAAACCTTAGGACAAAACGTCCTCTAGGACAGGATTTCGTTTTCCATTTTTTTGAGATCTCCAAACGCAGCAAAGGGATGGACGCCACCCTTTCCACAGGTAAAGTGCCTCCCAACGACTCACTTGGCCATCATGCTGTCTAAGACTACATTTTCGCGGCGCTGTGAGCCGCGCGCCGGTCAGCTAATCGACCTCCCGCAACTTGCAAACATGCGCACCACATGATGGCCGATCATTCCGCCGAGCGACCCGAAGAAACACCGCCGCGTCGCGACTTCAACATCGGGCAGGAGGGGGGGGAACATGCGACCGTCGCGACAGGCGGGTCGCTGCGAGAGACTCATCCTCAAGCGGAAGATGAAAATGCGGCTACCACTTCTGGTTCCGGAGCTGGTCCTGGAGCAGGTGCTCCGACTACCGCACTGGTCGGTTTCGCAGCGGACCGCATTCCCGCGCCGCCTGACGGCGAGGCCGTCGAATTCAGGTACGGTACCGTATTACCGTTGTACGGATAGCTAGGCTGGCTGGCGAGGGGTGGCATGATTTTCTTTTAGACGTGACGTGCGCATATGGGTGATCATTGCGGTGCGATGTCAAATTGTGGATAAAGAGGCGTTGGGTTGTTGTAAGTGCGCGAAGCACGGTCGCGAAGGCCTGTCTGCAGTCTCCTCTGGTTTTCAGAGTGGTGCCGCTTGTTGATGAGGGCAACAATTCTCTCCACCTGCCCTGTTCGTTTTTTGCTGGACGTTGCTGCCGCAAGGGGCTTCGGTGTTACTGGTCCCGGGCCGAGTCATGTTGACGTTCGTGTTCATTCGCCTCCTTCGTGGAGGAGCTCTGTGAGCGCTTCCGTGTGATTCGTTAGTTATGTACACATTTTGCGTGTGTGTGGATGTATGTGCATGTGCATGTGCGTGTATGGATAGTGTGTAGGCGTATGTTTGCAAATAGGTAGTTCCGCGGATGTCGTTGTGGCGTTGACGGCAGTGGCTGGCTCCTGCAGCCTACCGATTTCGTAATATTGCTATACGTGCTCCACGTCCTGCATGCCCACATCCGACAAAATGCCTCAGCCCAAGTTTGGAGAAGGAAGCTGCGGATTTTTAAGTACACAGGCCGCCGCGATTAAGCGAAATGCGGCGACCTGTGGACACTCTACAGGATGCATATACGTGCACTTTAGACAGACGAGGGTTGTTTTGCTCGTCCCGCTTGTCCTCCGCCATGACTTGCAATGTCTTGCTGCTCCGATGTCGCCTCGGTCTGCTTCCCACGTCTGCTTCCGACGTTTCCCACCCCTGCTTGCCTGGATACCCTCCGGACGTGCAATTGACTTAGGTCTATGCCGGCGTCGTTTGTGGCCAAGGGAATGGCGCCGCGTCCCGTCTCAGACCGGGCCCTTATGGAGGGTGATGTGATCAGCATGCCGAGGAGGGGCGGACCTTCGGGGTGAACCGGAGCGTCCAATCTCGTCCTTTGTTGTGCATCACACCAGTTTTGCTCCTTTCATTGGCGCTGTTGCATACGTTTGAATTCAAAAGGGCTCGCAATACTTTTTCACTACCATACTCAGTCGGGCGTTTTAAAGTGGACTCCTTTTTGCAATCTCGTCAGTTTTGTAATCGAGTCAGCTTTTCCATGATCACAGGAACAGATGAAGCAGTCCCGCGGGTGATGCTTTACCATGCCGAAATGTTGTTTAATTGGCAGCCGGCCAGGCTTTTCCTTCTGCCATTCCCAGTTTCAAAGATTTGCAAAGCTGTGTCAGCACTAATAACGAAGAGGATACTCTCTGAACCAGTCAACACTTTAAAGACAGTCATTGGTTAGGACGGCCCCACATTTCGTACAATACGACTTGTAACTGCAAGAGCACGGACATTACAGACTCATAACACGTCCAATTTGTACAATGATGCAGCAGGTTTAAGTAAACGCTTCAAGGTTCAGTAGCACTGGTTGTGGAGTCAGGCCTGTCACATGGACCATTTCACGGGAAATCGGGAAATTTCGCACATCTTGAGTTTCTGTTCCCATACAAACATCAAGCCACTCAAGCTTAACCTTTTGAGAGTTAAAGCTTCTGACTCATAGGCTTTTTGGTGACACGCAGGGACATGTTCGTTAGCGTACGAGATAATGACCAACGGCTCCACATTGTCGAGGTAGCTTTGTACACAAGGTCGCTGCTTGCTCATGAAAAGGTGTTGAGAAGCCATCACCTTAGCTTTTACACTCGATGAAAAAGCGACGTAAAGTATATAGTACAGCAGTTCCTGCAAAAGCTTGCACGTGCGCAGATTCTTCTACATAACAATCAAGAATTTGTCAAAGGCTGGGATGGAGCAGCGCGTCTACCCAATCTGCCTTAGTGAGCGAATTGTTAGCCGCTTGTTGCTTCGCAGCTGACACGCCGGCAACGTTTTCTCAACTTGGCACTACGTTACGACTTGCTAACAACGTATCCAGAATAATAATTACAAATTAAACGAATTTCAGGCATTTGCACTGTTGCGGCGAAAAGACCGAATGGACCCGCCGTCAAACGTTCCACGCAGTGGAGAAGATCTTTCGCGTGCTTTTCGGTAAAATTTGTATACGCTTCAGATATACTCAGCATTTCCATTGGATGCATTATGCTGAGGAATGGCGCTGCTTTGTTTGTGCCAGGAACTTGCCTCCGGGGACTTTGTCCGGCCTTGACGCGTTATGCGACCACAGCTATTGGCAATCTGTCATGAGACAGTCAGAAATTGAAATCAGCAATGAAGACATCTTTCGCTTCAGGCAAGCTGTCAGGCCATCGGTTTGCCGCGCGACTTGACGTCTTTGCCTGGTTTGTATAATCCATTTAGTGAGGCTCGTGTAGCCATAAAAATGGATATACGTGTATTGCCCTGATGATAAGATATTTTGTTTGTCTTTTGTGGCGGTTGGCCCGTTGTTGTCCCAGCTGAGAACGGGACCAACCCAGAGCGGTACCGCCCTGAGCGACACCTGCAAACACTTTCCTTTGGCAGGTTGATTACTGCTGTCAGTGCAAGTCTGCTTGCAGGCCGTGAGGCCCGCTCAGGGCCAGCAAGCTCGGTCTATGTCACTGAATCCCTGAGTTGGCGTTCCTCTTGCAGGTTCTCGGAAATTAGCAAAACAGCATCCAACCGCCTAGCTTTCCTCGCGGGCAGCGGCGAGTATGGCAGCTTTAACCTGCGCTATCTCATTCAGCAGCTGGTGGAGCAATGCGCAGGTAAACCGGGGAATCCTTCGCCCGCTTATGCTCAAGCTTAGTGGCTTTACAAAGCTCCCTCAGCCGTCAGAACTGACGAAGCCCTTCGGCTGTTACCACTTCTCGGGTCGCGTCCCGGCTTAAGCTCGCACAACTCACATTTCACTCGGGCGTTTCCCGGGAACAGCGCACTGCCGCGCTTATCGTCTCACTTTGATGATTTAATAGGGTCAAGCTAACCGCCATTCAAACTGAAGTTGAAACGAGCAGTTGGAGAAGGTTTTTGAGCGGTTTCCGGTTTCAAAACGCATGCTGCTGTGCACTCCCAAAATTACAACCAATATTGAAGCGCTATGTCCTTGGCTACTCCTTTTTAATGCACATGCTCTGCTGTTTGGCCACTACTCAGATATGCACAATTACACGCGCAAGCTGGAGAAGTATGTGGTGAAGCTGCAGCGTAGAGTCGAGGAGTTGGAGGTACGAATTCCGTACGTGTCGTCCGTACCTGGTTATTCTGCTACTGTACAGGCTGGCCGACTTGGACACATTACGTGTATCGGTTGGCCGTCTCCTCACCCCTCTAAAAGTAAAGTAAATGCATGCGCGAGGAAATTTCTTCTCTTGGTTTGGAACCTTCTGCAACGAGCAGAGTTCGAAGCCGAGTAGCCGAGTTCGAACCTGCGAATTACAGTCCATGAGGGCTATGCAGCATATGAGAGGTCTTATCTTCCTGCGTCATGCAAATCGTGCCTTCCCTGGGCTGTTGCAAGGATGGCGTATGGAAGATGGATAGCGGCTCGTACCACGATGACAATTCGTTGCCATACATGATGTGACAGGGTCTGACAGCTCTGGGGGCTCTGCTTTTCTTTTTGCTGCTCCTTCCGTACCCCCCTGTGTCTGCTTCTCCTGACGGAACTCAACACCGTTCCGCGCCTCACCGTGCTAAAACCCTTAGCAGCAGCAGCAACAGCAGCAGCAACAGCAGCAGCAACAACGGGACGCTGGGGCCCTCGGCGGCGGCGGCAGGCATGAGTTACGTGAGCAGCGACTGCCGCCGCCTCAGACACAGCCTCACGGCGGCGGCGGTGGCGGCGGCGGCGGCGGCTCCGGAACCAGCGGTGGAACGAGCGGTGGCGGGGCGAGCGGCGGGACGAGCAGTGGCAGGGCTGGCAGCGGTGCGCCGCAGCCGCACCATCCGGTCCCCGCCGCCTTTCTGCACCCTCATCTGCAACTGGCGGGCCTTTTCGGACCCACGGGTCACTCAGGACATGCCTTGGGAGGCGGCAAGCGCGCTCGCTCCCCACCGCCGGGCAGCGTCGAGGCTGCGGGATCGTCCGTGGCTGCTGAGCAGGACGACGATTGATAACCCAAAAAAACCCATCTCACACTCCGCCCAACCCACCCAAACCCCAGTTCAAACCCCGGACTTGGCAACCGAAATCCCAGCACTCTCATTCAGAGCGAGACAGGCAACCTCAACGCCCACCTGAACAGCATTAGGAACCACAGCCCTATGGCCCTACATCACGCTCTGTAGGCGCCCTGTAGAGAGAGCACGTCAGTGGCAGCAGCAACAACAGCAGCAGCAGCAGCAGCAGTACCGGAGCGCGGCGCAGCAGCCTGAGCGATTCTCTCCTGTCACGTCTCTCTTCGGCTTTCGAGCTCTGCCGGGCAGCTTTTGGTTGCGAAGCTGCGGCGGTCGAGCTTTTTCATCCCCCGGGCGGTTTTGACTGCATCGTTGTTCGTTCACAGAGGAGACCTCCTGAGCGGCAGGACCTGTTGTAGTAGCAGTAGCAGCAACAGCAATTACAGCTTGCAGGTACAGCTGCAGGCGGCAGCGGAGAAACCCACCCCCAGGTGACGGTTGGTTCCCTTTTGCGCACATCGGTTGTTCGGTTAGTCGTTAGTCGTTTGCGGCGCTACGCTATAGCGGTTTTGATTACAGAGAGGAGGGCTTCCATCTCTGCTTCTTCGGCTCTGTGTTCAGTTGTTTTTCGCTCCAGGTGGCTTTATATCGGCGATCTGAGTGAGGAGAGTGAGGAGAGGAAATGAAGAGAGAATTACAGCGGTAGCATATCTTCTTGTCTGTCTTCGCGGGTACATGTAATTGGAAGACATAGTCGATGTTGTTTCTTGCTGCTTGGGTGACGCGAACGACGGTGTACGAGGGAAAGTGCGATTGTATGACTATGCATGGCTGTCATATTTTGACTATGAATGGCCATATTCATGTCGCACATGTTACAGTTGCCATGACTTTGCGAATGTATGACAATTTGATAGTACGCGTAGTACATCATCGGTTCCATGCCGTACGCTCCAGTTGGATTTTGAATTATAAAGTAGCTGTATTACATTTGGGTGCATTGACCAAAGTCCCGGAGCGTCGCTGAGCTTTTTCATCCATTGTGGCCCTTGCCGAGGAAAGTGGTGGTGGAGATTTAGTCGCAGATTTTGTATTTCAATCGCTTGTGTTGTAGCAAAATGTTGTTTAGCATTAGTAGGTTTACCTGCAAATGGCCAAACGGATATCTCTTTTTTGTACGGATGTACGGAGTGGGCATGGATGATGGTTTATGTCCCCGTAACTAGTACGATTCGAGTTCTGAGGGAGAGTTGTGCTACAACAGCTCTAATCCGCTCCCCAACGCTCCTCCGTTCAAGCTCACTCAAGGCGTCCTCCTTGAGATTTCGAGGTCTGAGAATGTTCTTCAGATCGTCTTGAGGCACGAGCCTAATTTGGCTCGCTTGGCAGCAATTAGAAGGCCTCCGAATCAGGCTCTGGCTCGGCTTATTTCGATTGGAGCCTGTCGCCGGGGGCTTTGCCCTGTATCGGGGGGTAGTGAGGGGGAAGCATGAGAGAGCAAGGACGCTGAGCGGGGAGGAAATGTTGAGTGAGGTGGTGCGCTTTCAAGGGCCCTATGGCCCCTCTATTCCCCTTGAGGGCCGCAAACCCATGTTGATGAGCTGTGTGACTGACTGACAGACTTTGAGTTGATTTGATGACGAAGTAACACGGGCTGGATCGAGGTGGGCGTTATAGGGGACTGCATGTTTTGTGGTCGAACAACCTCTTGGGGGGTATTAGGGTTTGCTGGGCCCTGACGCGTCTTTCGGGGGTACCGTTGCGCTTGGTAACGGTGGTGGTGGGTGGAGTGGCGGTTGGTGGTTGTGATGTAGGAAAGGAAAGGACTCGAGCCTATGCAAACCAACCAATAAGGGGTGTTAAAGGAGCTTAACTGATTTGGGGTCCAATGGAAGTGGGATGCAAGCGGCGGTTGGGTGGGTCCGAGCCCCTTTCTTTTTAAGCACACTGCCGGCAAGAAAGCTCTAGGGATCGAACCCTCGTGTGCATTCGCGGTTCGGCGGGGCTAGTTTGTTCTGGAGGGAAGATGCTGGTGCCGTACAGCGCGAAGGGCTTCGGCGTATAATCCTTATAATCGCCGCTTAACTTCCCACTTGGACAGTGTGTTGAATGTTGGGCAGTGTGTTGGCTTGTCCGGGAGCCCCTAGGGACTCGGAGCGCACGCCGGTGTGTGTCAGCTTCCATGGGCCTTATGCTGTACAGTCGTGACGTTCGCCTCCACGCTTCCCATGCGCAAAACGTTTGTGGCGACATCTCATTTTAATGTACGACAACCTTGATCATTTGGGTATGGGTTCACTTTCCGTGGATCCACCTGTTTCGGAACGGCGTTCTGGGGTAGTGCGTTAACATGGTTTGCGCCGGCATCTGTATGTGAGTTTGTGCATGACGCCGTGCCGTACATCCGATTATCTGGTGCTCGGGGCAGTGGTTCCCTCGCTGCTTTTGATGTTTTTGCGACTGTTTGCATTCGCAGAGGGGTTCATTGCATAGTTATTTGGGGCCGCGCTGATGTGTCTTCGATATGTTAGGCGATTGGCAGTTGGCAGTTAGGACGGCATAAGGGATTTCATGCGCACGATGTGCGAATTTGCACGTGCGCTCTTGTTTCTCACCTGGCTAGCTGCTTTGTTTGCACATCCAGCTGTAATACTTGCTTGCTGGTTTTCTGTTTCTATTTCGATTATTGGTGCATTTGAGTCCGCATGCGTCCACAGCCTTGTGCTGCCTTTAGCAAGTTGGATTGGTGGTGATGGTGTCTGCATTTCGGTGCTAGCAGAGCTTAGAGCTAGTAACAATGAGGGATATGATTGTTTGGAAAGAGCGCGGAAATGGTCGCAGTTGTGCTGTTCCTAGGGAAACTCGAGACTGCGTTTTTCATAATGGGAAGTTTGGTAGAAAATTAAACAGAGACTTGCTCAAAAAAGAAGGAAGCAACGCATTCGCGAAATTGTGGTGTTGGTCAAGAATGCTGCGGTTTAAATGATAGGAGCATCGATGAAATCGTAATTGTTGATATCCATCTTGCTCTCCATCCAGCGCCATATGCGTGGTTGCAAATCTGATTTCTTAAATAGTATGATAGCGCAGTACAGTTCCGGGCGGAGGAACTCGATCTTGTGTCACCGCAGGATATGCCGCACTGCTGGTGCTCGTGTCGCGTGGCTTTCCAAGCAGCAAAGCGGCATTGCATATACATACGCAGTTGCACGGTCCTGCCCATACAGGATTCGACACCCCAAAAACCAGTTCCCGCTCGCTGCGCCTGCGACTCTGCAATCGCCTAAAATCTGTCGTACAATTGTCGTACAATATGAGCCCCAAATGAAGCCGTTTAACCGTTTTGCAGCACAGACAACACAACGGCTTTCCTGCATCTTTTTGTGGGCGGGGTCTTTAATGTGGGTGGGGCTTCGTGTTGTGCACGCATCTTTATAACTTTTCCCTCGTAATAGGACAAATGGTTGACCCTTATTTGCTTGTGGTGTTCAGTCTTAAAAAATACCTACCTCCACTACCTTTGGACCTCATGCGTTGGGAAATTCATGTACGACAGTACGGATCCGCTAGCTGTTGGCTGAGAGTGCTTGTTGTTCGTTATGTACACATAACGCCCTTCCTACCTATTTTCGGACCGATTGGCAATGGATGGATGGATGGGTGGATGGACGTAAACCAAGTGGTAGATGCACTCCAATGCAATTTGAAGTTTAGAAGCCGCTGCAGGTTGTGTGTGTACCGGGGCTTGTACGTCACATCCCCCTCACGCGCTTGAGACAGAGACAAGTCTCAGGCTTCAAATCCAACACAGCCCTGGAACTCTCCTGCAGCGTCAAACGCCGTCGTCTGCCTACCGTCGGTATTGTCGTACATACGCGATCGGATGAGATCAGACGAGCTGTAGCAGCCTGACTCGGAGGACAGCTCTCTCTCGGCTGTAGAGCACAATGCCGTCCCCCCTTTGGATGACTGCGAACGGTATCAACGCCGGGAACCGATAGGGCGCCTGTGTAAGGCCGTTTTGAAGCGGGATGGGGGTGGCTGTGTTCGCGATTGAGGTTTGGGGGATCTGGGGAGTTGGTTTTTCGGTTGCGGCTACGGCGTTGCTTTTCCCTCCGCTGATAGCTACCGCGAAACCCCCTCCCCGCTGTAGCTCCCCTGTCACGGTGAGGTGAGGTGAGGTAAGCAGCGCTAATTTGCTTTCATACCCGTTGCCGGTTGCCTAATTTGGAGCGAGGATAGATAATAGGCAGTAGCAGTATATATGTTGATGGCTATCGGAGTGCGGCGATGATTAAGAACCAATGCTTGATGGCGGGGGGATTTTTTGAAACGGACGTGTACATTTAGGGGCAACCCGCAACGGGCACGAAACCGTGTGCTGTACGGCAGGTGACAGGTCAGCAGGCAGGCGCGGGCGGTCGTCTTTTTTCGTACTGCCGTCGTTTTCGCGTCTTCTTTACTGTTGCGCATTATGCATCAAGCGACGAAGACTGGAGACTGATGGGCTTTCAGCTCTGGAAGCCTTTAGAGAGCCGCACCGCTCGTCCGTATGCCGTACATACAGGTGCCACCCGGGCTGCGGCACAAAGACGGCAGCAGTAAAAAGGTTGTGCGGGAGAGCGCACATAAGGATGGGGGGATGTTTTACATTTGTATGTATGTACGTATTGCATAATGGAATAACGGCACAGGGGGAATGGGCTTTCATTTATGTAGTAAAGTACGGCAGATATGAGGTCCTAATTAAGCTCTACGCGGCAACGTCGTCCGCCGGGACGGGCGGCGAGGCAATCTAAAATACCCGCCGAGTGGGCGGACGAACTGGCGGATGATGCACTGAGCGTGCGTCCGCCCTTGCCTTCCAATTTTTCTCCTACGCGCTCAATCCGGGATCCACCCCTTAGTAACGGGATCCAGACCTTTTCAAATCATTTTTTTAAACATGTAATTGGTTCAAAATTACAAGGAAAGCGCCACGTGAAAGCATCCTCCTTCAGGCTCATAGCATAAAAAATATACATTAACATTTCCTCGGTGGCGGGCGGCACGGGGGGGAGCAGCTCATCAGACAGCTCACCGGCGGCTCGACGATCGGTTATTAGGCGTTGCTAAAGTGGTAGCTGACAGGCCCCCTCCTCCTCATCGCTTTGGCCGCCGCCCCGCCGCCCTGCGCCCCTCAACCCCTGTTGTGTGCACCAGACAGCACGGCCAACTGGCCCAGGTGCAGAGCCCGTTCCCCCACCCCCCTTTTCCCGTCGCCGGGGGGGTTCACTGCTTATCGGGGGATCCACTGGCACCTCACGCCCGCGGGAGGCTTCCGGAAGGTGGGGGTGACGGCCGGCCGGCGCGTGTCGGCTCTCGCCTGTTGGGCCCTATATACCTATAGGAGCAGTCTGCTCTCAGAATCATGATCAGATCATGTCGTCTGAAGCACGTGAGTCCGTGAGGCCTTAAATCCGTATACGGATCTGTACAGCAGTCGTATCCCTCCTGCTTTACAGATGCGCATCGTATAATTTGTTCGGGCCCGGGCTCAAATTCGGAAACAAAACCGGTCTAGTGCACTTCACAGCTCCGGAGCCAACCCGCTGCAACCGAGACAGACAGACAAACAGACAGACAAGGGTGTGTGACCATGTGGCCGTTTCACTGAGCTGCGCTGAATGTCACCGTCCCCTCAAACAATGGATGGAAGGGCCGGAACGTCGAAGATTCCATCGCGCGGCCCCACCCTTTCGTAAACCCTAAAACCGTAAAAAAACCCGTACAACCGTAAGTGTCCACATCATCAGACATGTCAACCGAAAGCAAGCAGCCGTACTGCTGCTGATCTTTCACTGCAGATTTCCCTTAGGTTTATAAGGGATATGAGGTGGAGGGCAAAACCGCAGATACACCGCGACACACGGGGCACGGATTAACGACCACACAATAGCATCCTCTACGGCATATATTATGTTAGTTGGTAAGGGGATCTATCATATAATTCACTCGCACAGCATCCTGCCCAGCCTGCAGCGCCGACTGTACGACGACAGTACGGACGATGAAAAATCCATGCCCTCTCTCTGCCGTGCAGCTCCCATACACATGGCCTGCACAAGCAAGGCATCCGATACGACAGTCCCTATGCAACATGCGACCACGTGCCGTACAGGCAAACACACATACACACGTAAGTATGTCTGTACGAAACGCGAGATCACTTAAAACCTTCCCTCAACAAGGGGGGATTTCCTGACCGTCCCACCCTGGACGATATTCAAGATGTGAAAAAATATGAGTGAAAGGAAACTGACATCCTACGGGAGGGGGTATCGATCGGGGGTCGAGTGTACGGCAATGCCGGTTTGCAACACCCCCAAACGGACCCAACCGCCCGAACAATACTCACATATATACGTGCACACACTAACACACACGGGTACAATGTAGATATCATGTTTTAATACAACACTCTGATATTCAGCAGTACATACATACATATGCACAGCAACACAGCCACACAAGTATTATATATCGTACTCGTACAGAGGCGATCGAAGGGAGCATAGGGATAAATAGCGAGGGAGGGCGGGAGGGCGGGGAGTTTCGGAGGTCCTCTTCTTCCGGTTTGGATATGGTGAACTGACCCTGGGCGATGGTCGGAGGCAGGCCGAGAGAACAAGGA